ACCATTGGGACCTGAACCAATAGTCCATGCATTCCAACTCCTGCCATTTCGTGGTGTGTTTATAGCACAACCGCCAGTCAATGTAATAAATGCCGTGCAATAAATGTCATTTGTCCATCCCCTAATATGGATACTGGAATATTTCCAATTAGGTGTTGAAATTTCATGAACCCAATTGTGGGTCAAAAAATTCTTGCCCATTTCATCTTTTGTGATAATTGTATATTATTTGTTGTTAGTTGGATAGATAGACAGACAGAGAGACAGATCGGAACAGAATCTCGTACAGAAATGCGCTATTCTAAGTCGAGTGGGGTCTTAATGGCTGAATAGTCTACGAGCTTCCCTGTCAACTGGAAGATTCTGCGTCCGACCCCCTGTGAGTGCGCAATTCTGAAGAGTTTCAAATTAGGACGAAAATCTCTCCAGTACTCTCAAGTTTTCCAATAGTTCTCTGATATCAATTGATGTTAGCTCGTGATCAATCCTGTAACGAATCAAATCCCTGAAAACCAACACTTGATATTAAGAATTATTAAGGAAACAGATGAATGCAATTGTCGAGTTATGTTGCACATAAAAAAAATAAAATATGAAGTTTCAACATGTTGAAGTGAAAGGGTCAGTGCTTACCGAGGTATTAATAAGATAGTAATAGTCTCTTTTTGCGCAGAGAACTCAGGCTTCACTCTCTGGATGGTCACAACGTCAGCAATTCGAAGTTGTCTTGAAGTGCTTTGTCTATTCAGCACCTGAAGAAGATTCTTCTTTGTTGATTTGATGTCTTGTATCAGCCAGGTGTCGAGCTATGATGCTATTAAATGATGTTGAATCTCTAATACGTAGATTCTTAGGCACATGTTTAACAATGCGTGTCGATTGCCGTCTCTCGGTTCACCTACCATAATTGCTAAGGCATATACATGTGAATTCATGTGTTGTGGAGAGCCAGAAATCGGTGGACTTTGAATTGTGTAATTCAGCAGGTTGTTTTGTACAGGAGGACCTGTTTGGCGACTTGATACTTGGTTGATAATGCATCTTTTATTCGTTTGGTAATTCTTTCTTCAACCTCATCACCTTTGAATCGTTACTTAAGGAACACGACAGTACTATGCACACTCTGCCTTCCTCATGTCGCGTCTACTTTACTTTACTTCCCCATAAATAGTTTGGGATATCCAGTGTTGCTTAAACATTCATCGATGAGATTGATTTCGTTTCCTAATGTTTTTGGAGCAAAGCTTTTCTGCTCTATGGTATAGTGTTCTAACTGAACCTGTCTTGTAGGTAACTGGAGAGGTGTTGAAGAGTTTAGGTATTGACCACTCCAGATTGTTTTGTGTTGAATGCTCCATTTTTTCTTTTTCTCTACCTATGTGTGGTAAATTGCAACAGGTAGCAATTTGACCTGCACGTAAGATTTAGAAATGATGGAGAAGATTTGTAGCTCACGTGGGTGATTTTGATGTGGTTGTGTTCTCTGAGCTGGATAGTTCATTTGCGAAGCTTTCATCGCCCAACTAGGCAACATCTCCAGCGCATACTTCAATTTACTGGAGTGTGAGCTTTTAGATTTCTCCACGAGTTTATTAATCATCTCTCCCGATGACCTTGAACGTGATTGGTTGTTTTTGTGTATTTTCATACCCTCTAGTCTACTTGTATTGGAACTGATTGTTTCTTTGACTTGAACTTTGACCCTTTGTGTGTGAGGTTTCTTTGTTATCGGTTCTCTAGCGTGCTAGAGAATTTTTAGAAGCTTGGCATTCCAGTGAATCATCAATCAATAGACAAAATTTATCAACCGATAAGAAAGAAACCTCACACACAATGGGTCAAAGTTCAAGTCAAAGAAACAATCAGTTCCAATACAAGTAGACTAGAGGGTATGAAAATACACAAAAACAACCAATCACGTTAAAGGTCACCGGGAGAGATGATTAATAAACTCGTGGAGAAATCTAAAAGCTCACTTCAAATTGAAATATGCGCTGGAGATGTTGCCTAGTAGGGCGATGAAAGCTTCACAAATTAACTATCCAGCTCAGAGAACACAACCACGTTAAAATTTGATCTGCTGCACTTCTGTACAAACTTCTATGTTGAAAGTTAGTTAGTTAGTTAACAGCTGATTGTTTTCTGTATTCTGTCAGTCAAAAGTTGTATGCGATTTCAGGTAATCAATTGATTGATAGCAGGTTGTCATATATTGCCTTAGTTTAACGATAACTGTTCAAAGCATAGTACCAAACTATACATACTTACATATTCAAATAATATGCCTAATTTATCAGACTTCTGAAGTGATTGACTAAATCGGACAACAATCTCTGTAGAATTAACCTAGCTATTAGTGCTTTTAGTTTTTTCGACGTGTGTGCGGTCATTTCATTTATCCTGCTGTGAATTTTAACAAACACAATACTCGGAGGGTAATATGGTGATGGAATTCTCTCTTGATTAAATACAATCCTTTCTAATTTCCAAATGAGGCATTTGATTGGATTCAATCAGTCATTATTTGCAAAGTACACAGTGTAGCGACCAAAACTGACTCGTTCTGGTCACTAAACGCAGATCTCTGCGTCCGATTTTGTATAGCTGTCCGAAACTTCCTTGAGAAAGCTCAGTCACAAAATGCTCCAAAGACAATGGCCAAAAGACGATTGTTAGTGATTGGAATCTATGTGTTTGTGTGGGTTTCTACTCAACAATAATAATATTATTATCAAAAACTCAAAACTGTTTCAACAGTGGCGTTAGGCAATGCAGGTTTCTAAATACAAAACAATCACTGTTATTATTATTATTCCCTTGGGTTCTGGGTGGAACATAGGGCCTCAACAACACATCTCCATTTTCGTCTATTTTCTGACTTCCTCTTCACCTGGCTCCATGACTGCCCCTCCTCCTCTTCACACGATCTCCTTCATGCTACTCTCTCACCGACGACCCAGTCGTCGCTTCCCATTCAGATTTGACTCTAGGACCTTGCGCGCGATGCCATTCAATGGCCTCCTTAACGTATGACCGACCCATCTCCATTTTCTCCTACACATTTGTTGAACAATCAGCTCTTGCTCGGTTGGTTTGTTCCCAGCCAGAGTTTCTTGTTTCTAATTCTTTCTGGCTGGCTATTCGATCTTCAGTACTATAGAATAAAGTTAGTCAGCCAATATCTAACTACAAGAAGTACCATAGAATCCAGTAGGATATTCCCAACTCTGTCCGCAAGAATTATACACCAACAATCCAAGCCGATAGTTCAAGATCAGAATCACCTTGACTTTACTCAAACAAACTAGGCGTCGTAAAACAACACATTATCATTAGTGTATTGCACTATCACACTGAGAAGCATTAAAATTTGAGATTAAATAGGGAAAAAGACAAATAATAAGGATCAAATCAAAATGTGATATGTAAAAATGATTATGATTAGATCGTTAAGGCTGTTATTTTCAAAACAGTTTTACTATAGTTGCCTTTATATATACACAGCATATTTAAATCAGATCAGATCAATTGGAGTGCTGTATCGATCTGACTGGAAAACACTCGTGGTTGACATGAATGATCACCAGATCTTCATATTAATAAAACAATGTCTGTTGACTTGCGTTGGATCACTTGTCTAAACTTACAATGATCTTGTCAATAGGGAATGATATTATTTAATTATTTAATTCAGTGTTAGATTTTCCCGTCGACTGATTGAACCGGAGTGCTCGGTCTGAGGTTGACATGTTGGCTCCTTGTGCAGATGCTTCGACGATGTCTGGTCATGTAACTTGAAGTCAATTGGTGGATTGGTGACTAGCAGTGTGGAATCCAGGATAACGCGCATTTCGTCCTATTTGGGACTCGCCGGCCAGGTGGATTTCCCTACATTCTCCAGTGAGCGATGGTGTGCCAACTGAGGCTCGAACCTAGTTCCAATAGTTTCAAACGTCACAGAGTTACCCACGAGAGCCACCTTTTGTGCAACGGGTCATATTAATTATTGAATCCAATTTTAGATCTTCCCGTCGACTGATTGGACCGAAGTGCTTGGTCTCAGATTAACACGTTGGTTCCTTCTTCAATCGATGGGAAGTTCTGAAATTGAATTAAACAATTAATATGACTCGTTGCACAAGAGTTGGCTCTCGTGGTCTAGTGGATAACGCTTCGGCATTTGAAACTATGGGCACTGGGTTCGAGCCTCGGTGGGAACACGATCACTCAGTGACTGGGGAATGTAGGTACATCCGTCCACCTGACGGGTCCCAAATAGGACGAAGTGCGCGATATCCGGGGTTCCACTGCTAGTTGCCATCCACCAATTGACTTCAAGATATTATTTAATATCAGTAATCACAGTGACAGTGATAATTGCATATGCTCCGTAATTCAATTTAGATTTAGCAATTCACTACTCGCTACTCTTTTCTGGTGTGATGATGTCTGACTACTTTTCTTTTCTGTTACTACCTTCAAATCTAGTATAATAATGATATAAGCAGCCTTATATACCATTATTACACAATAATGTCGAATTTCATGGTGGTAATTTATGGTTGTTGTTTTTTTCTGATTGTGTACATATGCTGGCTAAACAAATATATTCGCATTTCTAGAGATATATGCAAAAGAAAAACACTTTTCGGTATCAGTATGTTGTTCTCTGTTTTCCTTGAATTCATCTTGGGAGGTTTTTAGGGTATGTTTTAAGCATACTTATCCGAAAGTATGCATATATATACGCCGACTAGTTTTAATTTCAAGAGACTTTTTCAGCGATTGGTTTATTGATATTACATACAATCGATAAAACTTACTGATACCGCTTAGCTGAAGGTTATATGTGAATTATTATTATTATTATCATTATTACTATAGAGTAAAATTTAGCTTTTGTTTAATGTTTCCGCATTTTATTTTATTACTTTATTTTATTTTTACCACTGAGTTTCGTGTTGTTTTTTAAAATTTTATTTTGTTCTTCTTTTTGATAGATCTATGGAGTCGCTTTCAGTCCCACTGGACAATTTTTTGTCACTGTTGGTGTCCGTTATGTTCGATTTTGGTATTTGGAGAATAAACGTAACAAAGTGAGTAGTATATTATGTCTTGGGTTTTATTATTAAATTATTATTGTTCCCTTGGGTTCCTAGTGGGACATAAGGCTTCAACTGCACGTCTCCACTTGTTTCTGTCTTCTGCTGTACTTTTCACCTGCGTCCTGTTTCAATTCCTCTTCACACGATCTCTTCCATGTCACCCTTGGACGTCCCACTCGCCGCTTCCCTTTCGGGTTCCACTCGAGCTATGGCCTGACGCGCGATGTCACCCAGCGGCCTCCTCAGCGAGTGTCCAATCCATTTCCACTTTCTCCTGCATATTTGTTGGGCGATTGGTTCTTGTTTTGTTCGTTCCCATAGTTTCTTGTTGGTGATTCTTTCCGGCCGGCCATCTGATCTTCAGTATAGAGCGAAGACAGTTGTTGATAAAGGTCTGCAACAGGCTGTTGGAAATATTCTTTGTGACCCGCCGCCAAGTTTCTGATCCGTATAGAAGAACTGACTGACTTGACGTTTGTATTGAAAATCCGAATTTTGTTGTTGATGCAAGCTGAGTGACGAAGATTTCCAGATTGGTTTCAGGTTGATGAATGTGTTTCTCGCCTTCCGGATTCTCAATTTGACATCTTCGTCCGTTCCTCCTATAGTTGAGACAATGCTCCCTAGATAAGTGAATGAAGTAACCTCTTTCAAATCCCTCCCGTTGGTGGTGATTGGCTCTGGATGTTGCTGTTGTTGTTGTTGTTGTTGGTTGGTTATTTTCATAACCTCCGTCTTGTCTATGTTCACCTGGAGTCCTGTCTTTGCTGCTTCTTCGACCAGTTTGTCGGTTTTCGCTTGTAAGTCTTCGATTTTGTGTGACATCAAACGATTAAATAAATAATGACTGACATTTATTTTCTTTTGTGTTCCAAATAGGCTTGAGCCTTCGGTAGCTATGGCGTTGTTATTTTTACGGCGTGGGGTTGTTAGCCTCACGAATAACCTCCCGTCTTTTCTGGGCTTGCTAGCGGCTAGGTGAAGTTCAACAGTGCGTCAGTCGGGAACCAAACCCGGTTGTGTTGTTGGTTGCTGTCTAACTTGACTAGAATGAGCCTCCAGTCACAACACTATAGGCCAACTGTGATCACTCAGAAATATTCTCCACACAAACTGAGTAGACACACACACACACACACGCAGAAGTCAGAGTTAACTGAGACAAAATATTTGTTATTATAATCATAGTTAAGCAACACATAATGCATAAAGTATTATTGATATAAGTATAAAACTTGGGCACTGTGGTAGAGTATAACTCCATTGTGGATAAGATTTTATTTTGATAAATCACACAGTGTTATACAGTAATATTAACTGATGACCACCTTTCGAGCACAAATTATTGCCACTCATAATCATATCAAGTTACTCACACAACTTTTTTCTTTCATTTATATACATGTGTGGAATTGACTAGATATTTGAATAAAAATCAGTATGAGATAATGTACAGTCAGAAATAATAATATGAGTGTTATTGATCAGATACAGTCAGATGGGAAATAAGAGGAGTGTTTTTAAAGTCATAATAAGTTACTTATTCGAATGTTTTGATGTGTTTGAATTGAAATAGAATTTTAAGGTTATTTATTACCCTCCTCTGATTTGACTGACTGGTGTTAATAATATCTTACATATCTCTCGTATTTGCATTGAGTCATTTCTGTTGCATGTGTTGGGTGTAGACTCGATGAACCAGGATTCATTAGTCAACCTCTCTCTTCACGTACCTATAATACTTCTTAGAATTTTAACCCTCTCCCACCCACTCTATTGTGTGGTTGTGTGTTAATGCATGCAGTGCAGTCGCTGAGCTATTTTCTAAATTACTTGCTATCTTCTCGGGGTCAACCATTCTTACCTTAGCTAAATTCTTATGTTCTGGAGATCTGACTACCCGCGATCTACTAGTTTGACGCATATAGTTGACTTAACTCACAGTCATTACAAGGTATTTTGTAAATTATATTATTTTGTTTAATTGGGTCAACCTGCAGGGTCCTTTAACCTACAGAGCTTGTCTCTGAGTGAGTTTGTAGGTTAAAATGCCACCCTAATTCCTGCTTTATTAAGAATCCTACGTAAGGAGGGTCTCAGATGTTCCCTCCTTATATGTTAAAATTACTGTAGAGGCCTTATATTATTTCTTATTTGTGTTGTCATTATTAGTTTCACCATTATTTTTATTTTGCTTTTGACGTTTTTTGATATTCCTAATGAATTTTATAGGATAGTTAATTAACACCAACGCTTCATCTATCTGTTTTGTTACGTTATTTAGGTCTTTTATTGTACTACTTAGTGTTATTACTTGGTTTGTTAAACAATTAACTAAGCCTGCCTTAACAGTTAACGGATGAAATGAATTAAAGTCTAAATATCTATTAGAATGCATTGGTTTTCTATAAACACTAGTGTGTAGTTCACCTTCTTCTATTCGTTTTATTTTACAATCAAACATAGCTAATTCTCCTTCTTTATTTTCCGATTCAAATGTGAATTTTATTTCCTCTACTAATGGATTTATATGTGTCAAGAAGCTAGAGATATGTTCTGTTTTTAACACTGTGAAAGTGTCATCCACATATCTCCACCATATTTTTGGAGTAGGATATGATTATGAGCAGTAATAATTTGTGCTCGAAACGTCATCAGTTAATATTACTGTGTAACACTGTGTGACCTACCAAAATAAAATCTTATCTATAGTGGAGATGCATAAAGTATTTTACCTAATCCCTTTATGTGAAATGAATTTGATTAGTAGGCAAATGAAACATTGCATAACAAGGTGAGAAGTAGTATGATAGGATACGGTTTTACTTTCGAAAAACATACTGAATCAAGCGTTACCAAGCGTTAGTTTGAAGGGATTGGATTTGTTTCAAGTTTGGTCACGGATTGATGTCAGTTAAAGAACCACTATTGGAAACCAGCAGGGAGTACTGGTCAGCCGTTTCGTCCCAATTTTTGATTCATCAGGAGTACGCACCCACTGAATTTCGAACCCAGGACCTTCTCATTGCAAGGTCAGACACCCGATTCAGTGTCCAGTCAATGAATTCTAACTTTTACCAATTGATGATTTTAGCGCGACTGGGACCAGCCAATGGTATCGTCGAGTATTTGTCCTCACTCCCAACTGAGTGGACCCCACTACTATTCTTATCCCTTTGTTTCTTTTATTATGAATATTATTATTCCCTTGGGTTCCGAGTGGAACATAGAGCTTCAACAGCATATCTCCACTTTGTTCTATCTTCTGCTGTCCTCTTCAACTGGGTTCACGATTGTCCATAATCTCTCATTTCCTTTATCGCACCGTCTCCTCCATGTCACCCCTCGCACTGACGACCTACTCGTCGCTTCCCATTGGGATTCCACTGGAGTTATGGCCTGCATTGCGCGCGGTGTCATTCGACGGCCTCCTCAACGTATGCCCAACCCATCTCCATTTTCTACTACATATTTGTTGTGCAATTGGCTCTTGGTCAGTTCTTTTATTATGCTCAGTACAAATCCTCTACATACGTTGAATAAGGATTGTTAAACAAATGAGGCTAATGTTGTACTTGTGTACATGTAGAACAGAACATTGACAAAAGTAGAAACATTTTTTCTTAGCCATTGGATTAAATAAGATCAATTCAGTAGTAACAACAATACACCATTTTCCAGAATACTGTGTTGTATCAAGATAGTTAATTAATAGTAGTTGTATTTATTAGGAGGGTAATTTGTACAAAGTGTATCAATCCAAATCAACACACGCACACACTTCACATATGTTCAAATGAAAATGTAACAAATAGATACAATTATATTTAGAGCGAACAATTGTGGTTTCAATAAATTCTTCTTCAGGCTCTACAATTATAAATCCATTAATTTCAGCATACAATAGCCAGCCAGCCAGTAAAGGCAAATTAGAATCATATCAGTTTATCTATGAATTCAACTGATCATATGGAGCTAGTTACATTGGCCATACTCAGAGGGCTTTATCCATGCGCGCGTGAACATGTACCTGTATGGTTGAATAAAGGGGTAAACAAATGCGTAAATAGCACAGTCTTAGCCCACTTGGTAGATACTGGACACCCGATAAAACTTAACCAGGCGTTCTCAGTTATTTACCGCGTTCCTAGTAATTTATCTAGAGGAGGTCGACTACGTCTTCTATCAGTAGCTGAAGCGGTTGCAATTAATACCAGAAGACCGACTCTTTGTATACAGAAGAAGTATGTTCAACCCCTATGTTTACCTTGGCCTACAATAAAGGCAACAAATCCTCCATAAACGTTAACACTATAAATTCCTATCACAATTTTCTTTTCCTCTTCTTCTATTTCTTTGTTTCATTGACAAATGATTTCATGACCTTTCTTATGATTTCTATTACATTAGATTTAAGTAGTGCTTTTCTAACTTGTTATCGTATTTACAAAATCCTGTTCATTCCACTTCATCATATTCATTATTATTATTTGACAATCATTCACCAATAGTGCTTGTAATTTTACACCATATCATCGTTATCATTTTACAATCATTCTTATTGTCGTTATTTTCAACCTTGAACTTATGTCTAGTCCGCCCCATTAGTTGGTTTATTTTCATATTGTCTCACACACCCTGATTACACACACTCTCGAAACCTGTATTTTCTGTTGACTATATTTATATATATACACACATCATTAAATTAAATTACTTCATCTCATTTCATCTCATGTTCTCATTGACCATGCATATTAAAAAACTATCTGACTATTGTTCCATCCCATCTTATACTTGTTTCACAATACACTTTTTGATATGATTCTAATTTACCTTTATTGGCTGGCTATTGTATGCTTAAATTAATGGATTTATAATTGTAGAGCCTGAAGAAGGATTTATTGAAAGCACAATTGTTCCCCCTAACTATTTTGTTCTGAATAAATTATGGGTATATTCAATTTAAAATTATATTTGTTACATGTGAAATTTTGGAAAGTAAAGGATAGAAAAAAAACGCACTACGCTTTGGGGATATTGTGTAATTAATTCTGATTTTTTTAAGATTTCATCTCTTTATCAAGTCAGTGCTGAATGACCTCATATATATATATATATATATATATATATATATATATATATATGTATATATGTATGTATATTCGAGTGATGGTTTGTAGTGATTCGATGAGTTTCAAGTTTGATCACGGATTTATATTAGTTAAACAGCCATCGGAAACCAGAAGGGGGTACTGGACAACTAACTGTTTCGTCCTTATTTGGGACTCTTCAGCTTTACGCGACCACCCATAACCCCACCTTGGGGGCGGGTGAAACCCAGGACTTACAGATAACGAAGAAAGCTCGTTGACCATTTACCTCTGAAATCTTTTATTTGAAGCACTTTATTCATGTATAGTTATTATGTACTGTGTGGTCTTAAAAAGAATTCCACTGTATTCTTATTCTACAGGACTTAATACTTAGTCATGCATGTGATATATTTGGCTTGTCTGAGTTATTTAATCATTTCAAAGTGTTAAATCTACGCATGTATAAGATATATGAGATTGTAAGCACTTTACAAACGATAAAGATTACATATTCAAAATTGTTACTGAGCAACGCTGATCATATGTACCTATTTATCCATCTGAAATAGAAAAATGAACTACTGAGAGATGTGAAGTACCAAAGCTAACCACCTCTTGTTGTATCTATGAATTCAGCTGCTGCCGTTTGGAGCCGGTTATATTGACAGTTGCTGTAGAAACCTTATTTTTCGTGTTTGGGAACATCTACCACTGTGGTTAAATAAAGTTGTAGTGAAAACCATCAACAGTTCGATATTAGATCACCTCGTCCTAACAGGCCACAAAGCTAGTCAGCATTGAAGAGTCTCTATCGTGTATCGGATATCGAGTAAATTACCAAAGGCCTCTAGACACCAAATACTCCAAACAGCAGAAGCCATTGAGATTCGCTTTAAAAAAGCCGGAACTCTGCGTTGAAAAGAAACAGATCCAGCCAATATTCCTACCCTAACCCTGGTCTGCTATGGGAACTACAGAGTCATAAATTCCATGTTACTTTCCTTAATTTATCTGATGTTCAGCTTAATGTTATATTACTTTTACTGTTTATTTTCTTCCTTTGCGTTCCTAGTGGAACATACGCCTTCAAGTTTGAGGTTTCAGTAGCAGTGGTTTTATTTTTACGATGTGGGGTTGCTAAGCTTACTACCAGCCCTCTCTCTTTGCCGCGCGTATTATATCAGTTAAACAAGGTAAAGGAGTGCATCATCGGCCGGGGATCGAATCCCGGACCACGTGCGTGGTTGGCAGGCATTCTACCTCTGCGTCACCGACGCTTAATGTTATAATAATGCATATTACCTCTCTCTTATTGCTGCTTTTGAAATGTAATCACCTGTCGATATTATTGATTCATTGTAAGTTAGAACAGTATTAATGTTATTAATAATAATAATTCTTTGATTATTATGGTTATTTCTTAATTTTCTTATCACTGTAGATTCGTGAGACGTTACCACTGCATGGACGAAATGCTATACTTGGTGATATGTTCAATAGTGTATTTACTGATGTGTGTTGTGTTGTCTCATCTTCATCATCACCTCCTGCTTCAGCCTCCTCCTCTTCTGCCTCTTTTAATCCCGGTGGTTCTTCTCAACCTATTACTGCTAGATCGAAATCGTCATCAGATCATGAAGATGTGACAAATAATAATAAGAATACATCACCTTCAGTTCATAATACTGCTGCTAGTAGTGGTAGTACAACTTTAACATTAGTGGTAAATACTGCTGGACGTTTAATACAATTTAATGGTCAAAGGGATTTAGACAAATGGGTTGATTTGAAGGTAAGTTGATCACCTTTTGACGTCTTGTTACATATATGCGCCTTTCATGTCTGACTTGTTCCATATGGTACTATCTGTATTAACTATAAATAATTAGTATGTAATGATTGAAAGTAAACGGAGTATTGCTAAGCTCTACAACAGACCTATCTATAAAACGTGTTTGGGGCGTATCCTAAAGGTTGTGGAAGCCCTAGCTGGCAGTCAGAAAGTTTAAACCACCTTTATGCATTCAAAGCAACAATTCGTCATCACACTAAACCTACCTTCCTTGGTAAACTTTGATTGGATACCAGTCAGGGTAGATGTACTATTACCTATGTTATTTGGTTTAGTGATCTTCATGTGTGATTTTGACCTATTTCTATTTCTCACCTCTTAACTCTTCACTTATCAGTTTCATATATATTCCTATGATAAGTTCGTGTGTGTGATCAGATTGTTAATAGTAATAAAACAACACAGATTAAAAGTAAAAATATAGGTAGAGAAGAGGTAAAGAACTTCATCAGGAAGGAAAACAGTCATGTTTAACAAGTTCAAACAGCATTCGTCAATTATCGTCGGGAAGGGAAGAAAGAAGGAAATTGCAGCACGTTCGCCATTGATTATGACTGTTGGCCATATCCGATAAAGTTTCGAGCCACTGATTTGAGCTATCTCTCGGACTCCAACCAGGGAATCATGACGCACCAACTGGTACTAACCTAACACAAATATTCTTCATCCTACGACGCCACGTCAGGAGCTGACCACCTCTCCGCTTTTCCCATCCCGTCCAAGGGCTGACTAGCAAGCAGAGACCTGTACGGAAACCTCTGGGATGACATTGGCAGCACATGTCCAAGCCACCGAAGCCGGTGTTTCCAGATGACGACACTCAACGAATGGTGATCTCCACTGTGTCTAAACACACACACCGCTGCACTTGAGAATTACTCACGCGAAGACGCTATCGAATGCAATGCAAGCAATCCTGCGGAGACAACGATGATCGAATACGCGGTGTCCCCCCACAAAGAAATAAGTATTTCGATCTTCAAACTGTGAGGCTAAAAATATTGGAAATAAGCAAATTTAGAAATAACACATAAAATTCTGGAATGTTTTTACATCTAAAAATTAATGGAGGCTGTTGATTTAGCTTAGTACACTGACACATTGTTTAGTCTGACATATAAATGTAAGACATTTTATTACGTTTCGTAAAATCTTTTTTAAAAAGCGTTTAGTCATCACTATACTTAAAACTGTTCTGTCTCTGAATATACTGTTAACGGTTGTCAAATTAGGACTTCAGGTTTGCTTTCTTTTGAAATATGCGCCGAAATAATGATTTCTTTTTACTTCTTAATTATGCTTCTTATGTTTTGTTTATGCAAGCGTTTTGAAATCTTTTTTTTATACTTTTTAGACATCTAGAGCAAATTGTATTTCAACAAGTGGTTCATGGGTTACTGTTGGCTGTACTACCGGTGTTTGCCTTATTTTTGAGGCTGAAAGTTTACAATTTATCGCTAAACTTCCCTTGCCTCATACATTGGGCTCAAGTTTGCATGTAAGCAGTTAGTTGATCCTATGGAGACACCGGGTTGTGTATGACACATATATGTGTTATCCTTTTTGATTTGATTTTGTGTCCTCTGTGCCAGCTGACCGGCCGGTTGATTCAAATTGCGAAATTGTCACTATCCCCCCCATCTAGACAACAACATCTTCCTTCAGTGAAAGCTTCAAATATGAAATGAATTTGTTTGTCCCCTTTGATTCAGAATTCCAAGAGCATAAACTAGTGGGGAAAGACACGATATGTATTCTTTCATGTCAAGGCATGTGGACAATTACGGACACCAATTTGATTGGGAGAATGTAGAGATTTTAAACAGAGGAAACATCACCAAAAGTAATGCCAGGGAAATTCTAGAAGCCTGATGAATCAATCAGCGACTAACAAACACATTACTATAGATCAAATTTACCAACTAATAAAGAATAAATCACGTGACAAGAAAGTTTAAATTCCAAGTCAATAATAATGATCAATAGTTGTCAGGGGACACAATTATATGCATCATGGAAAATTCAAACATGTTCATTTTATATTAAAGCCTGCGCTGAAGCGATTTTTACTAGAAGGGGTGGGGGCAGGGAAAGCTTCTCAAGCAATTAAATCAACCAGCTGAGGAAACACAAACCAAGTCGAAATCATTCACCTGAACTACAAATCTTTTATACTATATGTTATCCTTTGTGTCTAAGTTTTCTATCTAAAACACAGTTAATGCAAGTTAACTCATTTACTGAGATGTGGTCAACTAGATTAAGTAATACATCCTCTTTTATTGCTCTATGTTATTAACTAGGTCAATGAATACGTATCTGTCACCGTGTTGATCTAGTTCTCCATGCTGATCTGTATGACTTCAATAGTTCACACTTGGTGATCCCTTTTTTGTTGTTGAATGATTAGAAATGCCGTTAAAACTTTAGTTTGAATGTCGATTTAATATGTATGTTTAAGCTTTCAGATATTTGGATTGGCATTTTAACAACACCTTGGCCAAATGGGATTACTTCTAACTAATTTGTGTAGTCAGTGAGTGAGAAACTCAAGTTTGTTGATTTCATTTGTCCTCATCAGTCTAGGTGCTAGACTTCTCACCACGGGCTGGAACCACGCTCCACCTATTGAGACATCCATAACCACTTAGTATATCATTAGGCTGTAAACAATAGTTGTGTGGTTTATCGCCAGTTGCATGGAATCGCGAATGGTTGTTGACTTAACGTAATGTCTTGCTTACTTTGTAAATTCTATACGATTATGTATAGTTCTTCATTTTTGGATAATTCATTAGAGTCTGTGAAACTGTTTGATGCTAGTGAGTTTCTTCCTTAGCGTTGTAGTTAGGTGTAAATTCCCAGACAAATGTACTAGGATTATGCATCTAAGATATTTAAAATATTTTTGACCCGTGCTGTGCATGCCACTGTAATTCTCACATCATTCTGTGATGGGTTTCAGTTACTTCAGAGTGACAAGATAAAGATCAGTGCATACGTTCTCGCATGCATACTACTTAAATACTATTACATTTTACAAAATGTTGAGAGGAAATTGTGTCGCCAAGCTGGTGACAGACGCGGTAATCACGAGTATCACTTGTCTACACCAACAACGTAATACAATGGCTAATCGATCTCTCAGTCCTCAAATTAAACGAAAGCACATCAAAGACGAGACGGAAAATAAATATATTTACACAATAACGTAGAGTTTAAAATATCACCATGGATATATACGTCAGTTAGTCTGTAATCATGATCCATAACAAATATGGGCGTTATTTTATGTAGGTCAATTCTGATTGGTTTATTTCCAAACTAGACATTGATCTCTTACGTAGGCCAATTTTGATTGGTTCATTTCCAGACTGGATATATCGATCACCATATCAAATACGTGTATAATAATGCAGACGAGAGTATCGATTTAGACATAATTAAATGAAAATGAAATGCTTTAAGCAATTAGAAATTGATATGTATTCGAGTGAACTGTTCAGTGCGATGAAGTAAATTAGAAGTGAAGGCAAAACAAATTCCATTCTTCACCTATAATTTCCATTTTTAGAGAAATTGGATTTTTTCAATGCATACTGTTGTCGAAATTGTTTTTATTTTTATTTTTCTATTTACCTAATTAACGTATTATCTGAAATGTTTTCTATTTTTTGTTTTTTTTACTATCACAAAGCTTTCTTTAGATGTAGCCAATGATTCAACTGGAAATGAACCTATTTATCCTGATATTATTGCAATCAAATTGGATTGTACTCGTAATCGTTTAATATGCTTCTATAATGATCATAGGTAAGGAGTGAATGTTTTTTTTTTCTGGTTTGATATCTCATCTTGATTTTATATAATTTTCCCTATTTGTTATTTATTCATCCTAATCATGGTTATTGAAGTTATAGGGGATATAAGAAAGTTCTTTAAGTAACAACTACAACAAGCACCAGTCACTGTCAACTGGAGAAATGTGAAAGAGGTTACTTCTTTTACTTATCTAGACAGAATCGTTTCAATTACAAGCAGACAGCATGGATGAAGATGCTAAAACCAGCCAGTATAGCAAAGGCAGGACAAAATACCTTCATCACTCACTGAAATCAGTGTGGAAATCTTCTGCACTTGACATTAAAAAATAAATTCAGATTTTCAACACCAGTGTTAAGTGAGTTCGTCTACATGGCTCAGAGATTTAGCGCGTCACGAAAAGCATTTCCAACAGTCCACTGCAGATTTGTATCAACAGCTGCCTTTGATTGCTCCATACTGAAGACAAGACGGTGAGTCAGAAAGCATTACCAACAAGTAACTTTGGAAACATACAAACCTATTTCCCTATAAATATTCTGGAGAAAAGAGAGATGGATCGAATACACGTTGAGAAAATCACTGAGTGACATTGCCCTCCAGGAATAACCTCTAGTGGAACCGGAATGGGAAACGATGAGTTGGGCTAGGGTCCTTGGCTGGTGACTTGGAGGAGGTCGTGTGAGGAGGAGATGAAAGCTTATAGGCAATCATGCAGCTAGTTGAGGAGGACTGTAGAGAACAGGGGCAAACGAAGTTGTGCTGTTGATGCCCTATGTTCCACTCGGAACCTATAGGAAGAATAATAAATGAATTAGAAGTTAATTGGTGGATGGTGACTATCAGTGGAATCCAGGATAACACGCATTTCGTCCTATTTGGGACTCGTCATCTGGATGTACCCGCATCCCGCGGTGGGTGACGATGTTCCCACTGAAACTTCAGGTCAATCAAACGACGGGAAAATCTAAAATTGAATTAAATAAATGAATCAGTTCATTAACTAAAGTATATTTCTAACTGTGGCTTATTGAGTCGGTCATTCCACTTTCACTTGACAAGTTACTGCACTTATCGAAGTTTTACGGGTCGTGTATCATCAACCCTTACACTATTGGTGTAGCTTATACATATATATATTACTGCTGAGTTGTACCTAAAGCACAATAAATTCTGTTCTCTTTTCTCAAAACCCAGAACTACTCTTATCGGTTTCTAGTGTAACAGTTGGCTAATGATTTAACCATTTATATACTTGGCGGGAAAGGGTTGGGGAAGTTCGTCTACATTAAGTAGTTATCCAAGGGATGTGATCATGTTTAATCTGAATGCTGATTAGAATTCATCAATAAAACGCTCTGTGCACTTAGGTTTCATATTTGTATAATTCCATAAATTTACTCGATAAAGTCTCACAGTTTTATACAGTTAATATTTACTGATGACCACGTTTCGAGCACAATTTTATTTCTGTCAATCATATGAAGGCGCACACACACATAACTTTCCAACTTCGTTTATCTACTGTAAATAACAAACTGATTAAACATACAAATGAATAAATAAAGGTCAATATAAAGTACAATAGATATGCGTGAAATAGATATGATAGGAAGATAAAGTACATTTGGAAATATGAATGCAATAAAATAGGAAATCAGACGATTGTTGTCAGTCGATAAGTTATGTGTGTTAGTAAAATAAAATGCGGAATAAGGTGTTTTGTCAGTAAAATAAAATAAATAGATAAAAAGTTAACACTTGATAACGTAAATTGAAATAAAACAAAAAAACAGAATTGTACATTATATTTTATCCTTTGATTTTGTTGCATAGTAATATTTTCCGTATCTCTGGTATTGATGCTGAGTCATCTCTGTTGCACGTATTGGGTGTAGATTTGATGAAGAAAGATTCAGTAATCAACTTCTTCCACCAATGTACATTACCTTTTAGAATTGTAATTCTACCCCCAGCCTATTGTGTGCTTGTGTAGTAATGTATGCAGTGCAATTGCTGAGCTTTTTTCTAAATTACTTATCATCATGGCGTCATTCATTCTAAACTTAGCTAAATTTGACTACTCCCGATCTACTGGTTTGACCTATATAATTGATCTCACAGTCATTGAAAGGTTTAATTGGGTCAACCGACAAGGTCCTTTAACCTACAGAGCTTGTCCTACCTGAGTGAGTTTGTAGGTTTGAATGCCACCCTAATTCCTGCTTTATTAAGAATCCTACATAAGGTGGGGGGGTCTCAGATGTTCCCTCCTTATATGGTATAACTACTGTAGATGCCTTATATTCTTTCTTATTTATGTTATCATTATTAGTTTCACCATTATTTTTATTTTGCTTTTGACCTTTTTTGATATTCCTAATGAATTTTATAGGATAATTAGTTATTTAACACCAACGCCTCTTCTATCTGTTTCATTTCATCGTTTAGGTTAGGAATTTTGATATACAAACGAAATTGTGTTTTTTTTTTAAAGTAGCCATTCTGACAGTATGTAGGCGAATGATAGTCTATGGCATCTGCTGAATGGATCAATACGCACACACCCACACACACACACACTTCAAATTAGCTTACTGTGTAATGTTGACAAAAATACAAAGAAGAAATAGGGTGGGGTGGATGAGGGACGTCATCCAGAAAGCAAGCAAGCATATTTGTCAAGATCACTCAACATTCTTTCCTTTATGGTACTTTTAGAAAGGCAAGAAAGAAGGAAATTTCAGAATGTTCATCGTTGATTATGATTCTTGGACATATCTGATAGCGTTTTGAATCACTAATTCGAACCGATGCAAAGCCTAACACAAATACCCTTTATCCCACTACACCATGTCATAGGCTCACACTACCTGTTCCCTTTTTCCATCCAGTCCCAGTGTAACAACAGAAGACAAGGGCCAGACAACAGATCATTTATTAAGGAAAATCAACACATATTTATAGATTTTAATGTACATTATTGTAGATAATTGTTAGTAGAAAATACAGTCTTTTGATTGGTTGTTTCTCACAGAAAGTCAACCTTTCATCTCTTTGTGGCTGTGTCAGATCATCCATATGCTAACTGTATCCGCCTACGCAAAGCCTTTGTTCTCATTTTCTCACCACCAATAATTGGGACATAAACATTGACGTTAATTACTGTCTACCAACTTTGGCTAGCAACCAGCTCTCACCACACCAGGGATAACGAACAGGCACCGCTACTGAGACATCTGGAATGATGGCATTCGTAGTGCTTGTCCATGTTACTTAGGCTGGTGTTTTTGGATGACGACATTCAATGAGCGATGATCTGTACCGTGTCCAAACACATGGGGATACTATCGGATGCATGTAATTCTACAGGGTAGCGCAGGATCGTCGGAGCTCCTCAGCTTGGAGATGTCAGGTTTTATAGGTGCACTGAAACATTTTAAAAGCGACCTTCGACCGGAAGACTAACATCGAATGTTGAATAATTTATATGTGTACTTGCGGATTTTTCTTGAACCTAGATAATGTGTTATCTATTGCTTCCATGTAATCCTAGATTAATTTGTTCAATACTTTTCAGTTTATCTTCACTCAACTTCTTTTACTAACCCTTTTGTCTAGCTGATTGATTCGAACTCAGTCAAGCTCACGTAGATAACATGGTTTAGTGATTGATTGAGTTTCAACGTAGAACACTTAGCACAGAAATGCATGCAGAAGGTATATCTCCAATAGCGCCTCCTCCAGTCATTGGTTCTTAGCATTCTGTGAGAACTCCAACCAAACAGTCTATAACCCCCCCCCGCGCCCCGCATGTGGCTGGTTCAAACTAACTGTCAACGACTTTATGGAATTTAATTTGATTTCAGATTTTACCGTCGATTGATTGGACCGAAGTGCTCGGTCTCAGGTTGACATGTCGGCTTCTTGTGCAGATGCTTCGACGATATCTGGGCATTTAATTATTATTTAATTGGTGGATGGTGACTAGCAGTGGAATCTAGGATGCGCATTTCGTCCTATTTGGGACTCGGTGGGAACATTATCACTCACTGAGGAATGCAGGTACATCCAGATGACGAGTCCCAAATAGGACGAAATGCGTCATCCTGGATTCCACTGCTAGTCACCATCCACCAATTAAAGACTTTATGGAATGATAGCAGATTTTTGTGTTAACCACCTCTAACTCTTTTCCAATTCATTCCTATGTCACTTAACTTTGCTTGTCTAGGAAGGTGATGGCTTGGCCCTGTGTAACACATATCCTAACCGTTTTAATCATATTCACAATCTTATCTACTGATCTTCCCTACTTACCTACTTATACAGTAATACTAACTGATGACGTTTCGAGCACAAATTTATTGTTCATAATCATATCAAAGATACTCACACAACTTTTTTCCTTTATTTATATACATGTGTGGAATTGATTAGATATTTGAATAAAATCAATATAAGATAAAGTACATTCAGAAATAATAATACGAGTGTTATTGATCAAATACAATCAGATGGGAAATAAGACGAGTGTTTTTATAGTCAAAATAAGTAACTTGCTAAAATGTTGAGATCTGCTTGAATTGAAATAGAATTTCAAGATTATTTATTATCCTCTTTTGATTTGACCGGCGGTAATAATATCTTCCATATTTCTGGTATTTGCATTGAGTCATTTTTGTTGCATGTGTTGGGTGTAGACTCAATGAACCAAGCAGGATTCAGTAATCAATCTCTCTCTTTACCTACCTATATTACTTCTTAGAATCTTAACCCTCTCCCACCCTATTGTGTGGTTTTGTGTTAATGCATGTAGTGCAATTGCCTACTCACTATATTATACCACTTAACAGGTGGGGGGATAGAACATAAACATCCTGTGGTCAAAGACAGTGAATCTAGTGAATACTGTCTATTTTCACATTTCCCGTGAACTAGTCTCATTCAATGAACTAACTGATATACTTTATAATCATAATACTTATATA